TCAGCTACAGCTTGAATAGCTCCTTTTAAGCAAATGCGGTTTAGACAGTTCTTGCTAGTTGAGCAAATGTGGCTTAAATAGTTCCTGTTGGAAAGTCCTCATAATGTTAAGTAATTGTTAAACCCACATTGCCTTAATAGGATTAATTGTATTTATGCTTATGAATATGTAATTTGTCAATGTATGCATGAAAAAGCGTGACTAAGAAACCAATCATAAGACAACACACTCAGTGGTTCTCCAATGTGGTGCCTGCGGGCGCCCACCGGGGCATTTACGTGCACCTGCCAAGTGCTCGGGGCCAGCCCTGCCCTGGGTGCACAGCGGATGGGTGGCCCCGCCCCCGGGTGCGTGGCGAGCACTGGCCCCAGGTGTGCAGCGAATGGGCGGCCCTATGCCTGGGCGTGTGGCTATGGGGGGGCGCTGGCCCCAGGCGCACGGCAAAGTGGCAGCCCCGCCCCTGGACGCACGGCACATGGGGTTGTCATCCCTGGGCATGCAGCGCATGCTTGCCCCATCCCCAGGCGCATGAGCAGTCCCGCCCCCATGCACCCGGCACGTGTGCGGCCCTGCCCCCGTGCGCCCGGCAGCTCCAAAAGGTTGGGGACCACTGCAACACAGCATATATTCCCTTTTATGAATAAGGAAAACTCCTGCAGCATACTTAAATTAATGTGACGTGCTGCCAGGTGTGGCTTTTATTCTCTTGGAAAGATGTAACAGCACACCAAGCTCAGGACCGGACTGGAAGCAGTAGAGTCCTCCCATGGATCCGAAGAGATTCCAGGGACTCTGTCACCTCACAGCTGATTTCCGGGGAAGCTGTCTCTCAGCCAGTCTCGGCCACCTGTGAAATCAAAACTAACTTTCGCTGCCTGCAGCCTGCTTCCAAAATGTCAGTATGAATGTGATGTAAGTGTGAGTATTGCTGCACCATTAAGAATCTATACTAATAAACAAGCCTTGTTGCTGCTCTAGTTCACCTTTTGCCTGTTTTTTTCCCCCCTTGGCTGGTCCAAGGAAAGGTAACAGACCCAGCCCTCCATCGCTTTTGCCTAACATCCTAAACTGAGTAGACCCCTTCTTAACTTCAAGAACTTCCTCATTTTGTGAGAGTTCATGACTGCCAATGACCACATACAAATGGTATAAATAGTATATGCAAACTCTTGAAATTATGCATTTGGAAAAAAAGATTGAAGGGTTGTTATGGTGAACTCTGCTTATGATCAATAGGTGTGTGTGGTGGGGAAGGGGTGAAACACCTCTGCCCAATCAGACAAATCAAAATTCTGTTTCATACTCATCCATGGCACATTTTTAATAAGCAAATAGCTGTTTAATAATAATTCCACAGCAACCATTCTGTACAATTTATGGCAACATCAAGTCTTTCATACACAGGGGAACAAACAGAGGAAAGCTGAGTTGGGCTTCTTCCATTTACTGAGAAAGCCCTGTTGTAGATTTGCAAACTGATGTGGTTAAATAGCCTTATCCAAACATCCATTTGATTCATTTTCATGGCTCTATACATAATCAAAGCTAAAGCCTGGGTTATTCATGTTTGAGACTCTGCAGCCGAGATATAACACTTTCTGGAAAGAAGGCTGTTACCTCATCTGTACAGTTACTGGCTCTCTTTCCTGCTAAAAAGGGGCAAAGAGGCTTTGCAGCTGAGATACAACCCTTTGGCTGTGTCTAGACTGGCAAGTTTTTCCACAAAATCATCTGCTTTTGCAGAAAAACTTGCCAGCTGTCTACACTGGCCGCTTGAATTTCCGCAAAAGCACTGATGATCTCATGTAAGATTGTCAGTGCTTTTTGTGGAAATACTACACTGCTCCTGTTTGGGCAAAAGTCTTTTTCTGAAAAACTTTTGCGCAAAAGGGCCAGTGTAGACAGCAGAGATTTGTTTTCTGCAAAAAAGCCCCGATCGCGAAAATGGAGATCAGGGCTTTTTTGTGGAAAAGCGCGTCTAGATTGGCCACAGACGCTTTTCCGCAAAAAGTGCTTTTGCGGAAAAGCGTCCTCCCAATCTAGACGCGCTTTTCCAAAAATGCTTTTAACGGAAAACTTTTCTGTTAAAAGCATTTCCGGAAAATCATGCCAGTCTAGACGTAGCCTTTCTGGAAAGAAGTCTGTAACCTCCTCTGTACAGTTACTGGCTCTCTTTCCTGCTAAAAAGGGGCAAAGAGGCTTTCTTTCCTTTTTTTTCCAACTTATAAGTCATTAGTAAGTATAAGCAGTTCTGCATGGCTCAGGCTATGTTGATCTCAGTGTCCTCCTTGATCTTTGAAAACATCTTCAATCTGCTTATTGAATGGATTCTCCTTTCCAAGCACGTGCGGCCATTCTCTTAGCACCTTCTGCCAGATAACGCTTGCCCCAAGGGCTGCTGAAATCTGCAAACAAACAGGTCACACAAATACTGTCAGTTTCTTAGTGTTATTTGTATTACTATCGTGCCACGGCTCACTCAGCAGGATGTCATTGCACAAGGTGCTGTACGTGTGCAGAATGGAAAGTCCCTGCCCCAAAGCGCATTCCCTTTGGTGGGCAGAATCCTGCTTTCCTTACACCTGAGGATCCGTTCCATTCAGACAATGAGCAGGTGCCACATTTTCTTTCTGAGGCAATAAAGCAAAGCTGGAATAGAACATGAGGAGGCGGTGCTGCTGGGGAAGGCTCATTCAGACCAATTTCTAGGCAGAGCAAGTGTTCCTGGCGTGAGAGCTCAGATGCCGTTAACTTGGGGAAAGTGACTGTTCTTGTAATTGGAAGCAAGCTGGCAGCATATTTAGCTCTACACTTTTTTTTTCCAGGTTCTTCTCTACTTAGACTAACATCAGGCCACTCATCAGGGAAAGAAACTGGACTAAGCTGCTTGTACACGTAGACAGCTCTATGCAGCGGCAACTCAAAATCCATTTCAAGATGTGCTTTCAGATTATTGAGGTCTGAAAAAATGGGCAAATAGGCTGTGGTCATAGGACCAGGAGGGACCTCACTACGTTAACTAGCCCACTCTTCAGCGCCCCTGGCAGCATATTTTATTGCAATCTACAGCCTTGTGTGGTTGCTGTATTCTCAAGGAGCTGCTATTTAAAAGAGACAAACTGGGCCTAATTTACAGAGGTAGGGAGCACTCTCTGAGCTATCAAAAGCACTACATGATTTAACACACACTGTGGAAAGTCAAAGGAATTTGTGTGCCTGAGTGCAAATCCCCCTTCACTCCAAAAAGTCAATGGGAGCTGCAGGTGTTCAGCACCTCTGAAAATGAGGCCCATTAAGGTCTAGTTTCAAATCCAACCTTCAAGCTCTAGCTCACCAGTGGTGCTGGTTGATTGACAATCCCTTTGAAGACAGCATTGATTAGTTAGGTAGGTCTTAATTAGTTGCTTCATTAGAGAGCTGTTACTCTCATCTTACAGGGTCCTTAAGTGCAAGAGGGTTATCGATGCCCAGTACAACTTCAGTGAAAAAAACCCCCACAACTCTGTCAGCCTGACTTTTCTGTGACAGTAATAGAGATGTAGCCGTGTTAGTCTGGTCTTGCGGAAACAAAAAACAGGACTACGCAGCAGTTTAAAGACTAACCATATGGTTTATTAGGTGATGAGCTTTCATGCTGAGGAAGTGGGTCTGGCCCATGAAAGCTCATCACCTAATAAACCATCTGGTTAGTCTTTAAAATGCTGCATAGTCCTGTCTTCTGTGTCAAGTTTTCAGATGCAGGTGATGCTTTTATAAACTGTAATTTCTGACCTACAATTCTCCCTTCATTTTGCTTATATAGTTGCCTACTTTCATCTCAGAATACTCACTGTCACATTGATTATAGTTACAGAAACTAAAATAGAACTAACAAAGCAGTTGTATTAAAGATGCTGGTGAGCTGACAGAACCCAATTGCTAGTCCAACAAAGATGTTTCAGACTAGGCTCAAAACTCTTTTTGGAGGTTTTAAAAGAATTTTTATAATTCTGTGCACATGAAAGGTACTTTAATGACAGCCCAGAAGCCTGAAGTCCCTTTCTTCACAGAACAGGTGACTGAAGGCTAACATGAGCGTCTTAATGTTGCTTTGCCTGGTGACTGGGAAAAGCTGTACAATTTATGAATTTGGTGTGAGGCTGAACTCTGTGTGCATATTTTTCCCAAACTGAAAATTTCACTTTAACTGCAATGATTAGTTGCCTTTTCTGTTGCCTCTTTATCTCCCCATTGCACTGAAATTCTGACAGTACAGGGTTGACAAGAGAGTCATTAGCCTAGGCTGGTCCTCTATTCTACCACAGCCATTCTGGGTAACAGGTTGGCTCCCACTGAGGACACTGGTTTATCAGGGAAAAGGACACTTGACAGCTGATCACAAACTCCCAGCAGGTGCCAAGGCTGCTCCTTAAGCCCTTTAAGATATATAAAGAGACATGGGAAGTTTGGGCAGGAGAGGAGAAGGAGCTAGAACTAGTGAGGTCAAAGGAGACAAGCTGGGGGAAGAAAGCTCAGTTTATCAGAACACACATGGTGGCACCCAGACTGCAGTGCAATGAATGGTGTGGGAGAATGAGGAGACTGAGGCAAGACAATGAGGGTAGGTCTTTGTACGTGTGTATCTTTCAGTGCTTTGTGCTATTAAAAATGGGGAGTCCTCTGGTACCTTAGACTAACAGGTTTATTAGGACATAAGCTTGTGTAGGTAAAACCCACTTCATCAGATTATGCCCTAATACATGTTTGTCTACATGTATCACAGGACTCCTCTGTTTTTGCAGATACGATCAAAAAAGGCTACCCTTCTGCGACTTGCACTATTAAAGAGCAAGCAATAGTGTGTGATACACGCACCACATAAAGACTTTGCACACAATTCTACCTTATCTCGTACCCCGGGAGCAGGTAAAACCAGAAGGTTCACAATGGCAGGTAGCATTGGGGGAAAGGCTGTGTTTAAAGCGGTTGACGTGGGTAGTTGTCTTAAATTAGGCAGTCGGCCTTAGGGTCTAAGCTCCCAGCAGCGTTTATCAGCTAGAGTTATACCCCACGAGCATGCCTAGAGCAGTAACTGGACTTTGTTCTGTTGATTCAGGAAGCTTAAAACACATGAATCCAATGTCTGAGTCCTCTCACAGCAGTCTGGGGAGTGGCCAATATGCAGCACTCAACTGATCTGACATCTCGGTACCAATAAGTTTCACCTCTGACCAAAAGGCCATTTTGGGGATGAGAATGTCTGGCACTGGGTCATTCCTAGCTTTCTGCAAAGCTAACAAAAGTACCAGTTCTAGCAGGGGATTGTGGACATTTGTTTGTACCAAAATGGGGCAAGATCACCAACTGCATTTTGCTGTTTCAATGAGGCTATGCCCTGATTTCAGTAGGGCTATACCAATTTACACCAGTGGGCATCTGGTCCTGCGTTCTTATTTAATTCTTTTTTATTGAGCTGCTCCAAGCTGGGGCAAAGTACATTTTCTCTGTAATTTTAATACATAACTTGTTCACGTGTCATTTCAGCTTTGTCTTTCTGGTATAAATGCATTTTGTCATGACTTAAGGGAGAGACTAATCACCCTAAAGCTGTGCTTTCCTGCCTGTACATAATCATTAAGAATCCTCTAGAGTATCTCATACAGGTTCTGATTGTGACTTAGGGCTTAGCTTTTTTTTTTGTAGGTTCATGACCCAAATAACTGTTTTGTTCTTTTTAGCTGCCTGTTGAAATGCATGGTTGTGTCATATGTACAAAGTAATCAGCTGCTTTTAAAACAAGCATTGACCTTAAAGCCATGTAGGCCTTGCAGGCGGGGCAGGAGAGATGGGGGGTGGGGCTGGCAGGCGGGGTCAGTGTAGCTAGCCTGGGTAGATGGGGGGAGGGGCAGTGTGGCTGGCTGGAGGAGATGGGGGAGTGTGTGTGGGGGCAGCAAGGTTGGCTGGGGAGATTGGGAGGAGAACTGGGCGGCAGGAAGCAGGGGTGGCTGGGAGGGTGTTGGGGACAGCAGTGCTGGCTGGGAAGGGTCAGGGAAAGCAGGCAGGGGGAGCAAATCGTCGGGTGGGGAGCGGGACTGACCCCGGCACATGCTGATCCTGGGACACTGTCAGTCCCACGCATGGTCCTGGCGAAGTGCAAGTGAGTCCGGCTGCGGCTCCACAACACGCTCAGGGGATGGGAGCATCCACCCCAAGGCATCAGACTCAACCAGGAATCACCATTCGGCCCCACACAGCTTGCTCTGGGGAGCTACATTTCCTGGGCAGGTGGGATGTTGAACCTGGAGAATAAATGTGGCTTCTGGTGCCTCCGTGTGCGGGTCCTGCTCAGAGCATTGAGGCTCTGGTTACTACGGTCTCATGTGTCTCTTGGAGACCTTCTGCCTGGCCCTGGGCCAGCAGCTGGAGCAGCTCCACAGACTCCAGCCCCGCAAACTGGAAGGCAGAAGGTTGGGAAGGGGAAAAATAGGAAGGAAGGGGCTTGTGCTGAGGGGAGGGGGCAGGACAGGAGAAGAAAGGGGAAGGCACCAAGGGACAGGGTCCAAGAGAGACAAATGCCAAGGGCTCATGCAGACAATGAGGAAAAGGGCGGGAGGGGAGGTGTCAGTGGGAGGGAGACAGGGTGATTCTGGGAGAGGAGAGGGTAAGGGCATTGGGGGCTAGAGGAGGGAGGGAGAGGTGCTGGGAGAAGGCTTGAAAGAAGGGGTGGGTATGATGAAGGTGAGGATGGAGCAAGTCATGTGTGAGGGCACAGGGGCATGAGAGGAACGGGCAGAGGCTGGTGAGGGGGTGGACATTAGGGAAAAAGAGGGCAAAGGGGGCAGAGGCAGTGAGGGAAGGGGGAGGCACCAGGCAGGTGCAGGTGCCAGGGGATTCTGGGAGTGAAGCAGAAGAGCAGACACCTGCAGGAGAGGGACCAGCACCAGAAGAGAGAGGCAGGGCAGGTGTGTAGAGGGAGGTGTTAGGAGAGGGGATGAGGAGGTGGTAGCTCACATGATCAGAGTGGGGCTACTGGAGGAGTGGGCACAGGGGGGAGAGATGGGCTGGTGGAGGGGGGCAGGTCTCAGGAAGGCTGAGGACAGTGAGAAGGGCAGGAGTCAGGACAGCAGAGGAGGATGATGGGGGCTAATTTGGCTACGACAAATCAGGAAAGAGATCTTGGAGTTATCGTGGACAGTTCTCTGAAAACGTCCACACAGTGTGCAATGGCGGTCAAAAAGGCAAATAGGATGTTAAGAATCATTAAGAAAGGGATAGAAAATAAGACACAGAATATCTTACTGCCCCTGTATAAAACTATGTATGCCCACATCTTGAGTACTGTGTACAGATGTGGTCGCCTCACCTCAAAAAATATATTTTGGCCATGGAAAGGGTTCAGAGAAGGGCAACTAAAATGATTAGGGGT